GTGGAGGGGGAAAAAATATCTCTAAAATGTATAAAGTGTTGTTAAAATGGTATACAGAAGAGGAAACGGTGAAAGAGCAAATGATAAAATGGGCAATAAATATGAATAAGGAAGTGTTTATTGAAACCTGGGAATATTTGTGGAAAAATTCTATAAAGTTATCGCTTGGTGGACTTGCGAGAAAGCTGTAGACTTTTGGACAAAAGTCCACAAAGAAATGCAAAAAATACTGAAATGCTCTTTCAAAAAGGCACCAGAAATTCTGCTTTTGGGACTGAAAATGGAAGAAGTCAATACGACTAAAAAGACCTTATTCTGGTACTTAATTACAACAGCGAGAATGATTTATGCACAGTTTTGGAAAACAGACAAAGTGCCAGAAATCGAAGACTGGATACAAAAAGTTCTGTTCATGGCAGATGTACTTAATTACAACAGCGAGAATGATTTATGCACAATTTTGGAAAACAGAGAAAGTGCCAGAAATTGAAGACTGGATACAAAAAGTTCTGTTCATGGCAGAAATGGACAAAATTACGAAAAAGTTGAATAACAAAGAAGACGACGTGTTTTTTCAAGAATGGAGTGACTTTAAAACATATCTGGAAAAGAACTGGGATGTAAAGCAAAATTTAATATGTTTAGATCAATATTAAGTCAAATGATGTTATCTTGAGATTGTAACGATAAGAAAATGATATAATTGATGATGTAAAGTAATATGGTTTAGGGGGGGAAGCATTGCGGGAAGCCACTGGAGGGAGGGGAGGAAATGGGAATGGGGTAGACAATGGAAAGAATGAAATGGTTTAATTCTAAATGTTGAATTCCTAAGAAAATAAAAACTTGTTTACCCCCCCCAAAAAAAAGAACATAAGAGATGCCAATGTTGGATCAGGCCAAAGGCCCATCCAGTCCAACACTCTGTATCACACAGTGGCCAGAAATACCAGTGCCATCAGGAGGTCCACCAGTGGGGCCAGGACATTAGAAGCCCCTCCCACTGTTGACCCCCCCAAGCACCAAGAAGACAGAGCATCACTTGCCCCAGAGTCCCTATCTATACCTTGTGGCTAATAGCCACTGATGGACCTCTGCTCCATATGCTTATCTAATTCCCTTTTGAAGCCGTCCATGCTTGTAGCCGCCGCCACTTCCTGTGGCAGTGAATTCCAAGTGTTAATCACTCTTTGAGTGAAGAAGTACATCCTTTTATCCGTTCTAACCCGACCGCTCAGCAATTTCATGGAGTGCCCACGAGTTCTTGTATTGTGAGAAAGGGAGAAAAGTACCTGTGAAGTGCCTGTGAAGTGGCCTCTCCAGCTGAGGCAACTTGTGCCTCCGATTGGTATTAAATTGCAAATATCGGATCTTAGTGTTGTGATCAGTGGATTAGCCCCGTTTCTTATTGGCTAAGGAGCCACCTTCCCGTCCAGTCCTGACTGTTGGTTTTGATCCCCAGGGAAGGGGGGGGGAGGGGTTGGCCCATGGGGACCGGGGGGGGGCACGAAGATTATCTGAGATGTCTCTACGTAATCTCCGTAATCGGGGAGAGGGCCGTGAGCCCAGCCCTGTTTCCTCCCAGGGGCCATGAAAGTGCGTGTGTGTGTGTGGGGGGGACATTTGATCTGAGCTGGACAAAAATGCAGCCTTTTCCCTGGCCACCTCCAAAGGCTGGAAGGAGTGCGCGGACTCTAATATGGGAGAACCGGGTTTGATTCCCCACTCCTCCTCCTCCACATGAAGCCAGCTGGGTGACCTTGCGTCAGTCACAGCTCTCTCAGAGCTCTCTCAGCCCCACCCACCTCACCGGGTGCCTGTTGTGGGGAGGGTAAGGGTAAGGAGTTTGTCAGCCACTCTGAGACTCCTTCGGGTAGTGAAGGGCCATGGGGTATAAATCCAATCTCCTCTTCTTCAAGGGGGGGGGAAGGGGGGACCCTGTTCAGAGTAGCCAAGGTCCAAAATGGCCGGATCCTGTGTACCCCCGTCCATGCCTCATAACTCACCTGCTGTGCAGCTCGAATCATCCTGCGAGCCTCCTCCTTGATGCTGGGATTGTCTGGTGGTGGAGGCTGCACCAGGGTTGTCACCTCAGTCCCCCTAAAACCAAAGACCATTGGCCAGCCAAGATCCAGCTCAGGGACAGCAAGGTCAGAATTCATAGGCCAGTAAGTCCCAGAAGAGCCGTCTGCGTCCATGTCGCCCGGGCCAGAGTCTGTGCTGCCGCCACCCTCCTGGCTGGCGTATTGTGGCTTCTGCAGGTGCCGGGTGATATGCTCCACCTCTGAGCTGCAGAGGAAGTCTGGGGCTCCTTCTTCAGCCAGGAACTGACGGTAGCTCTCCTCACCATCCTCAGCCAGCTTGTCCAATGCCAGGCGGTAATATTCCTTGTAGTGGGGGGGAAGGTAGTTGGGGTCCAGGGGATTGTCCCCCTGTGACGAACTCTGGGACCGGCGAGCCATAATGGCAGAGAACACTGCAAAGACAAGAGGAGTCCATGTGACACAGGAATTCCAAGAGTCACAGACGAGGTGTTCCCTCCCTTCCCCCTGGCCAGTGCATCAGTGTGACTCTTTCACCTGGCAGGGATTCCTTCACGCACACTCCAGACACAGGTGAAGGCTAGGGCCCAAGTCCTCATCTCACTCAGGGCACATTTACTTATTTGGTCATAGCGATCCCCCCCCCCCACGGATACCTGTCTACGCCCACAAGGAAAGGATGACTGAAGGGCCCCTCCCAGTGCTCCCAGAAGGATCCTTGCTGGCACATTCCACTGGATAGCAACGTGTCTGAACGGGTACTCCACAAAGGGTTTTCTGCAGCAGGGGCCGAGTGTTCTCTCTACAGATCTTTCCTGGATTGCAGATTCATTCCAGCAGCACTTCTGTGGCATTTGTGGACGGACACGCAGTGTTCAAAGGTCAAGGAAGGATTTGAGCAGAGCAGCTCAGAGTCCATGTGCAGACAAGAGAGAAACATGTTGGGATCCCAACAGCTTCAGACAAGGGCAGTACACAACTACTAGACTGACCAGGAGAGTAGTCCTACAGACCAAAAGAAACCAAGCTCCTGCTGCACTCGGGGCTACGGATCCAGAGACTTCATGCAGTGGCTCCAGATCAGCCCTCGTACACACCAGACCAGTGTGGCTCCCACGTAGCCCCCCCCCCGCCCCCCAGGGCCGGCACTCCTTTCCATGACTCAGGTAATCCTGGAGCTGACTCCATCGTTACCATCCCCACATCATCCATCTCTGGGAAAAGGCATCAAGAAGGGCAAGCCTCTCATCCGTGCACACTCCACAAGGTAACCACAGGGGCACACTCCATGAGGTAGGGCTAACCACAGTTGCTGAGGGGAACCTCCACATTCAGAGGCACTAAACCTCTGAGTCCCAGAGCCAAGAGGCCACATCAGGGGAAGGCCTTGGCCTCCCTGCCCTGTTGCTGGCCCTCCAGAGGGACTGGCTGGCCCCTGTGTGAGACGGGAGGCTGGACTAGAGGGACCCTCCCTGGTCTGATCCAGCAGGGCTCTTCTGATGCTCTTATGAGGGGAAGGCCTCGGCCTCCCTGCCCTGTTGCTGGCCCTCCAGAGGGACTGGCTGGCCCCTGTGTGAGACGGGAGGCTGGACGAGATGGACCCTCCCTGGTCTGACCCAGCAGGGCTCTTCTGGTGTCCTTATAATGTGTAGCTGCTGCAGAATGTATAATGGGTATTTCATTTCCTTCCATCTCACTTCTGCCTGGAAGGAAGGCATAATATAAAGACTAATTCACTCTGCACAGAAAATGTCTGGCAACTTAAGGAAATGTGTCCACTCTGGAGTTCCCATCCCTGGAGGGCGGTCAATCTGCACAAACAAAGCAGAGTCAGGATAGCCCTTTCGCTTGGAGGGGAAGTCTCTGGTGGGCCGCTGCCTGCCCTCGAGGGCCACTAGCCGCCAAAAGGGCTCTGCTCCGCCGGCTGTGTAGCTGTCTCCTCGACAGGCCGCTGGACACAGCGGTGGACAAGCGTCCACGCAAGCCTGCCCCAACTGCCAGCGCAGCCGTGGCCGGGGCCCAAGCCAAGCAGACGCTGTGGCCCTCGGGGGAACCCTTCGCCCAGCCACTCCGGGGCTCTTTGGACATCTCTATCCACGACTGTGGAAGCGGGGTTTTATCTGATGGGGGGGGGGAAGAATCCACTGGGCTCTCCCTGCTCCTTGGGAGCCTGCAGAGGAGGTGCTCCGCTGCTCAGCTGTCTCTCCCCCCCCATGACCCCCGGGGGGGGGACTGCAGGCCTCACGCCAAGCCAAAGCCAAAGCGTAGCCTGTTTGCTGCTGTGGTTGAGGGGCTGGCAGGAGGGCATCAGGCAGGCACCGCAGCCTCACACAGCCCAGGGCAGCCCGGAGTGTCCAATGGCGGCAGCCGCTTTGTGATCAGCATCCCCACAGCATCCATAGGGAGCCACCGGCGGAACCCTAACCCTGGAACCCTCACCCTAACCCTCCTTTTTGGACACGAGGCCTCTGGCAGGAAGCACTTTGGGGGCCCCCCTGCCCCGCCCCCTCAGTTCAGCTGGCAGGCTCCTCATCACAACACACAGAGAGAGAGAGAGAGAGAGAGAGAGAGAGAGAGAGAGAGAGAGAGAGAGGTGGGTTAGCAAACAATAAATATTTTATAAACACACAAACGACAATTTACCAACATATCAATTTTTAACAACTCATAAGAACCTAATGCTCATCTCCACAGTACGGAGCTTATTTGTGATCCAGGAAGAATGCTGCTGTATGCTCAGAGACTAGGATTTTTATCTCTTGTACACTTTAAGACAGTTTATTTGGATTGAATTTTGTGCCTATTCAGAGACTATATTCTAACTGGAGATTTATGAGTTGTTAAAATTGATATATCGGCAAATTGTCATTTGTGTATTTATAACACAGAATTCACAAAACCGCGGTTTCCTTAAGTGGCCAAGACAGTTGCCATGCAGGGATGCCAGCCTCCAGGTGGGGCCTGGGGATCCCCCAGGACCAGAACCACAGCTCACCCCTGGACTGCAGAGATCCGTTCCCCAGAAGCAGACGGCTGCTTGGGAGGGTGGCCTCGGTGGCCTCATGGCGGCCCCCCCCGCCCGCCCCCCCAATCTCCAGGAGTTTCCCAGCCTGGATCTGGCAGCCCCTACCCCCCCAATCCCCCGCCGGTGACCAGGAAAGGGGGGGGGGACCGGACCTGGCCACCCTCTACCATCTTGTCACAGTCTCAGCTACAGTTTGCGATGCTCCTAATTACAGCCCAGACCCACTGGGCACACGCTGGAGCTTCCCAGGGCAGGAGGAAGCTGCCTCTCCTCCCCCCCTGGTGTGCACAGGCCCAGCTGTGCACAGGCCTCCTCCGCAAGGAATGCTGCATGTGCATGTTCATGGCTGCGCATCTGACAAACGTATAATGAGCGCTGGTGTTGTGGTCGGGCTAACAGGCCGGCCGCACCCAGCGGGAGACAAAGCGTTACACCTGGGCTGACTGGTGAGCCAGGAAGCCCACCTTGGGTCACATCTCTCCTCGCCCAGGAACTCAGTAGGTGGCCTCAGGCAAGCTGCCGTAGATTATGCCTCCCAATCACAGCCCTGTCGTGCACTTCACAGGGAGCCTCTCTGAAATAAGATTCAGAAACTGCAGCTGGCATGGAACGCCACGGCCAGGGCACTAATAGCAGGTGAGGTCACATTATACCAGTGCTAAAGCAGCCGCCATTTCTCCCTGTATGGTTCTGGGCCAGAATCAGGGCACTGGCCTTGGCCTAGAAATCCATTATTAGCCTGGGGCCCGTCTAGGTTCCCACTGGCTGCTCATGGCAGGAGACCTCCAACCGGTTCTAGTCCTCAGCTGATGGGCGGGGCAGAGCCAGGGACCTCCTGGGGAGAAAGATCAAAAAAGGAAGAAATACATGAGGCCTGGTCTACTTATAGGGAATTCTGACCACAGAGACCCTGACAACTCCTAGAGCTACCCAGAAGTGACAAGGGCAGCTCTAGCAATCACCAGCCATCTAGCAATTGCTGGAACAACCCCTGCCACACTGCCAGGTAGCTCTAGGAACTGGCCGGAACTCCATAGCCAGAACTTCCTGTAAGTAGACGAGGCCTTCGTCTTCCTTTTTAATTTTTCTCCTAGGGTGCTGCCCCCCTCACAACCTGGCAACCCCTCGCCCTGTTTGTCCCGGAGAACACCCCCCACAGCCCCCCCCCCCGAATTACGGCCCGCTAGTCAAGGCTTGCGGAGGATTCCGGCTCGGCCTACACAAGCCCGGCGGCAGGATGCCACCCTCTGTGCCCTCGAGCCCTGGCACCCCTCCACCCCATAAGCGTTGTTGACGGGCCGTTCTCGGCAGGCCTTCTGCCAAGGGGTGAAGCCATGGCTCTCCTCTACGTCTATTCACAGCTACTGGATTGGGCTGCTACCTGGGTTTTGCTGCTGAAAACACATTTTAAAGCCCATCCTGAAATTGTTCAGTTTTGTACTAATTAAAGTTAGTATTATTGGGAGGCTTTAATTATGTGCTATACGGCCGTGGCAGTTTTGAACACCCACTTACAAACCTGACAAGTCAGTAAATCCATAGTTTCAGGCCCCTACCTGCGATGCTTCACAGGGGTGTTTGCCAGGGCTTTCTTTCTTTCTTTTTTCCTTTTTGTAAAAAGAGGTGCCGGAACTCTCAGGAGGGAAATGAAGTTTTCAATCTGTATCCTGAAAACTCACGAACTTCTAAACATTTTAAAAGGAATTTTGTCAAAGAGGTTCCACCAGAAGAAAAGGCCTTGGGTGCCGCAAGGGTCACTTATGGGGTGGCGCTTTCTGCATGCCGGTGAGGAGCACATCCCTCCCCCTCCTCTCAGCGCCTGCCCCTGACTTCTCAGGCTGCCCACAGATGCCCAGAGCAGTGTGTGTGTGTGTGTGTGTGGGGGAGATCGTAACCGGAGAGCGGAGGGACTCTGGACTGACCCCCCCCCCTTCTATCAGCACTGCCTTTCAGCAAAGAAAGGCTTCCTTCCTTCCTCCCCTTGTAGACCTGAAATCCAACTGGGGGAAGCTGCTCCTCAGCCGTCTGCCCAGGTCTGCAGGAGAGGCCTGGCCTGCGCCAGACTCCGCGTGCCTTTCCCGGCCCGAATCCGTACTAACCCAGGCCAGGAAGCAGAGGGGTGGTTCTGCACGGAGGCTGGCCTCAGCAGAGCCAGCCTCGGCCCCGTCCTGGAGGGCACCCTCTTGCCCCGCGTTCGCTTCTCAGCCTCCCACACAGAAGCAGCTGTGCTGTGGGTGCGGCTCTGGGCAGATGCCAAAGGCCACAGGGAAGCGGCACAAAGGAATGCCTCCTCGGCAGAGAGGAAGCAGGTAGGAGTGCCTCTTCCAGGTGCCCAGGCACGCCTAGCTGGTGAGGTGGCCAAGGAGGGGGAAGGGGAGCGGAGGCTGGGAGGATTCTGGAACAGCC